ATATATATATATATATGCCGCTATATATCAGCCAGAGTAAACGCAGATTAAAGTGGACTCACTGCTGTGGTCAGACACCTTTTTTTTTTATTTTTTTTTTTATAACTGGCAGATCTGACTTCTGAGATAAAGTGTCACATTTGCATGTAATCTCAGTTTGACATATTGAGACTGAAACCAGTAAAGGTTCATTGTGTACTGACATGCAGGTGCACATTTGAAAGTTATTCAAATTATGCCTGAACCCTTTAAGAGCCTCTCAGTGTCTCTATGGGAAACGTATGCATGTTGGCCCTGTAAGGTTGTGAGTCACAAACTATAACATCTACATACACAACTAATACTTGGACGCTGTTGTTCTCAGTCTGACAATATGATGACGTCTGAGGATTGTGATATATAAAATTCTGTGTCTTTTCAGCAGATATGCAACATGGTGGTAGTTATGGAGGTGATCTCCTTTTTGGAGAAATATCCTATCACAAAAGAGGCCCTGGAGGTACGTAACATTCACACCTATTGTCTGTGTATTAAAAACAAAATGCAGGTACATCCAGTCAAGTCATAGCCGCTGTTAAACACCGATCTTATCTCCTTAAAGGAAACTCGTCTTGGCAAGCTCATCAACGACGTCCGGAAGAAAACCAAGAATGAGGACCTTGCGAGAAGGGCGAAGAAGCTCCTGCGAAACTGGCAGAAGCTAATCGAGCCAGGGAAGGGTGAGGTGTTGTCCAAAGGGCACACCGGTGCATCGTGGTCTTCCAATGGTGGTGCTCATCCCTGCATCCCCGCTCCGGCTGCCACCACGCCATCAGGTAAAACTGGTCCCGAGCTGAAGAACAGAAATGACTTCAACAACTGCTCCTCCCCTCGGGTGGAAAAACCGAGCAACAGGAAGCGTAAGGGTGATCAGAAGGAAGGACAGCTCTTACCAGCCAAGATATCCAAAACGACTCTTAATGATAAAATACAAAACTCCAAACAGCTGCCAACCAATGGAATTGGCGGTAGCTCTGAAATTTTTACAGATACTCGTGCACATCAGCCTTTAGACAGGGAGCTTTCTGAGCCTTTGGACAGCGACAGGCCAAATAAAATCCCTGTCAATGCTGTAAAACCTCATCCAAGTGCCCCTGGGTACAGCAAGCCTCCTAGCACTTCTTCTTTGCTAAAAGCATCAGTTCTGCAGCAGCAAGCCAGACAGGAGCACGCTGCCTCTGGGGGGCAGCATCGACCCAGAAGCCCACGCGGTTCCTTGCACAGTCCTCAAACTCCTCAAACTCCAAAGCAGGAAGCTGGTGTTAAACAAAATCCATCACAAGCACAGAGTCTTTCTGGCCCCACTGTGAGGCCTGGGTCTGTGGATACCTCTGGGCTGGGGTCATCCCCTCAGCCTTTCAGTGTTTGTGTTCAGGGTTTGCACACTGACGGTTCACGGTCCGCAGATTTGGACTCTAAAAGCAGGCTTCTCCATACATCTCTTCACAACTCGTATGGCTCCTCCTGCAGTGATGGGGTCAGTTTGGAAGATGATAGTGCTGTTAGCAATACAGGGAAAAGGAAAGGACAGAAATACAAGCCTAAGGACTGTGTGGTGAAGGTAGATGGACAGACTGTTGAAGACAGCACTAAACCAGTCAGGTTAAAAGACAGGAGACTGACATTTGACCCTGTAACAGGACAGATCAAGTCCTCCTTTCATAAGGAGTCTTGCCAGGAGGGGGAGGTAAGACAGGGCAACAAACCTGAATCTCAGTGGTCAGAACAGCCGAAGCAGAATCCACCAGTCGGTCCGAGTCCCTTCCAGCAGACAGACTGGAAAGAGCTGTCAAGGAGCGAAATCATCCAGTCGTACCTTAGCCAGCAAAGCAATGTGCTGACAACATCAGGCGCCCACACTCCTGGTGCACACTTTTTCATGACAGAGTTCTTGAAAAAAGAGGAACACCAAAGGAAAGATGCCAAGGAAACACACACGTTGGCTCGAGAACTCCCAGCCAGGGATTTACCGGGGGTTAACAGAGACGTCAACAATGAAGACCTGAATAAATTACACACACAACACTGGTCCGGGGTTAACGGTTGCTACGACACAAAGGGCAATTGGTATGACTGGACGTCTTGCATTTCCTTAGACCCGCACGGAGACGAGAGCAGGTTGAACATACTGCCGTACGTCTGTCTGGATTGACACTGAGGTCAGGTTTCTGAATTGGAGGAGTCAAGCTGCCTTCATCGTACAGCGGAGCCACTTTGCATGTGTGAAGGCGCTTCATATAAGTGTAAGCTGCTGTTTTTGCACCGATGGTGAAAAGTGGTGTCAATGTGCTGCCTGCATGGATGTGTGCCGAGTGCACGGAGGGTGTAATAAGTGTTTTGAACATTGGATGAAGACAGGGCGAAGGAAACAAAGGCTATGCATTATCTGACCTTTCAGTTGTTAGTGTTCAGTAACTGTAAAGATTGAGTTTCCAATACCTGCCATTCTTTCTATGTAAGACGACATCACGTTAAACTGCACAGTTACATTTTATTCGTCTTGTGTTATCCATGTGCCTCGTGGAATGTGACTTTACTGAGTTTATTTTGTGCACCCGCTCTCATTTAGTCCACAGTGCAGTATTTTATTTCTTTTTTCATTTGAAGTTTAGTTCAAGTTTATGTAAAAAAAAAAAAAAAGAATAAATCTGTGACTCAATCAACATCATCACCTTTCAGTAGAGACTAATAAGCTACATAATTGGAGCAGACATCCAACAGATACATGTCCCAGTGTGGTTTTTTGTTGCCATTTGCTCATTCATCTTGAACAAGGCTATGTAGCTGTTAAAGCTGAATTATATCTTTAAGTAGCTACTTTCAATTACCATTGGTATTAACTACTATCAACTGTTAGTGCTGTGAAAAACATTTATCATTGCACCTTTTTAAAACCGCTGTCCTGCCGTTGCACAAATGTCTCATGCAGCGACTTCAAGCAGAAAGAACTGACAAATTAGTTTTAAAAACATCTTAATATTTTTCTTGTGTTTTTGAGTTTTGAATGCTGTTAAATAATAAATAAAACATAAAATCTGCCAGATGTGACTGTGCAGTTTGAAAGAAAGGCTTGTGTTGGGCTAGAACAAAACACGCTGATGGAAAAAAATGTGGCTGTCATGTGTGATATTTATTTACATATTCATTTTAAGATTATATACATGTTCAGATTACAATAAAACTATCTTTTGTTAGATTTCTTTATTCGGAATTGGTTCAGTGATGCAGCAGCGACTTCCCGAACTTTTCCTGCTGATACACCAACCTACCTTACACAGGAAAACTCTCCAAAATGACACATTTTTATAATGTGAACTAATTTTGTTTTATACTTGCCTTTTCCCTTTACTGTGTATTTAGGTTGTAAAAAATATGAATTAAAATGGCAGAGCAGATTATACTACTAGCTTACATCTTTGTACTGTCAGGAAGAACTGAGGTAAAAATTGACATGCTGGATAAAGTACTTACTATCATTCCTTTTAGATATTGTTTGCCTTATGGAAACCTGTGTTTTCCCTAAAGACAGAGCCTTAGTGAATGTACAGAAATTAGCCTTTTGTGTTCAGTCGAATGCAGAAGAGACCATATTTGCTACTTAGTCCTTTAAGTGGACATGTTGACATGTGTTAATAAAAAAAACTGAAGGAATTTTGATTGTCTTTAAGTGTTCATTACCGCCTCTTTGCAATTACTCGCATTAATTTAACTGACAAATGAATTCCCACAGTGCAGGATGGTTCTGCAGACGCATCACTCAGCTGAATTTTAATTTATTCCCAGGATACAATATGTACCTAATCCTTTCTCTGATGCAATTTCTCCTCTGTGAATGCAACCGGAGCTGATTGGATTAATCAAGTTGTTCAGCAGAAAATTACTGGCAATTATTTTAACAATCGATCGTCACTAAACATTTCCTTGTCCCAACTTCACAATGATATGAACTGAACATTAGGGTTTTTTGACAGACAAAACAAGCAGTTTGACTGACATTAAGGATATTAATAACAGCATTTTTTTCCTATTTTCTGACAATTTATAGACTATACGAATTAACGTACTAATATAAATTATAGTTAGCTGCAGCCCTAAAAGGGTTTAAAGTATGAGAATTGAATTTGTTCTGTTGGAAGGTCAGAACATCTGAGTATGGAGACTCAAAAGGCATAACAGGCTCTAGTGGCATTATGAAATAAATATTGTATAATAAAGTATTAGAAAAATGGTGTGACATTAAAAAAAGTCGTTGGAAAAGGGTTATTTTTAAATAAAAATATTGCAAGAATGAAATAAAATGCAATAAACTGTATAGAATATTAAAACGGGATTTAAAAATGTATTGAGTTACTTCACAATTTCACGATTATATATTATATAATATTTATTCATAAATAAATAAATTATTTTACATTGTCTTTATTTGTTTAATGTTTAGGAAATGGGACACGTTCTTGCTGTTGTGAGTGGATTTTGTATTTTTTTGTTAAATATTAAGTTTGAAATCTATTACGTATATATTTATTTATTTATAAAAATCCAATTTAAAATGGCAGATAATTTTTTTTTGTATAACTGCAAGCAAAAAAAAAAAAAAAAAAAAATCTACCATTTTAAACGCAGCAGTTCCCATTTTACAAACGCATGTCCGTGCGCGGCTTTTATTTTGAAGCCCGGCCACCGGAACCACCGAGCTCCCTCTGTTGCCGGCGGTGTGACAGTTGGAGCGACCGTTGAGCAGCGCTGCCGTTAGTATCCCCAGCAACCCGCCGGTGACTCGTCACTCCGCGCTGGAAGATGGCTGCGGCGGACCGGCCCCCGGTCAGGGAAGGGGTTCGGATAGCGTTGCTGTGTGTGTGCTGGTACACGGTCAGCTCGGGGGGCAACATCGTCAACAAAATCATCCTGAACGGATTCCCGTACCCGGTCACCGTCTCGCTGTTCCACATCATCTCCATCGTCGTGTTCCTCCCGCCGCTGCTGCGGGCATGGGGAGTCCCCAGGACGGAGCTCCCTGCGCGGTACTACCGCTGGTACATCCTGCCGCTAGCCTTCGGGAAATACTTCGCGTCCGTGTCGGCTCACTTCAGCATATGGAAAGTGCCCGTTTCGTACGCGCACACCGGTGAGTCCAGTGGTGTTGTTACCGTGTTGTT